GCTTATCAGTTAAGGGTGGCTTTTTTTTTTTTTTTTTTTTTGTTAAAAGGAGCTCTTCCCAGAGTAGTATGCAATGAAGAAAGAGGGAGAAAAAAGGCAATTCAAAATAACAAAATATACCTCTGAATTAAAGGATCACGGAATAATATAGAAAGAAACCTCCTGCCCCTCAATTCCAACAATCCACCTTATAAAAATAAAATTAGGCATAACAATTAAGAAAGACAGAAAGACATTGCTACGTACAAATGACTGTAGAAAAAAACCCTGTTAATTTCATCAAAATGAGGACATTGTTAAGACCAGAATGTTCAAACCAAAAGAGGAAACATGGTTTTACATGATGCCAGCCAATTTTTTTTAATCAGTTCTACAGCATGTATCACTTTCCGACTGTTGCACAGAAAGGAAAAGATAGAAAAGCAAGTTTAAAAAGAGGAAATCTTCTGTTAGCCAAGGTATACCTGATGCAGAGCTCTTGGATAATTTTGCTAAGGGATACAAAAGAACTGATGTGGCTGTGAATTTATTATGAAAAATAAATGCCATTTCTTAATCTGCTGTTTTGCCCAGTAAAATGGTGGCTGTAGACTGTCAGAGTGCTTGAATAGATGCAAAATAAAATTAGAATAAATGCAAAATAAATATATATGTATTTTTCAAGATACAGTTGGAATGACATTAAAATTCCAGGGGTTAGGCCATTAGTATGAGCTAAAATATTATGGAAAAACACTTAAAACCTATGGTTCTTCTTCTAACCATGTATAAAAACTCTAACAACAAGAGAAAAGAGAACACCCCAAAATAATAAATTACCTTTTTGTGATAAATTATCAGCATTTGGATTCAAGATAATAAAACTGTTTTTTTTCCACAGAAGAAAGCACAAAGACGCATAACTTGAACAAAATTATTTGGTCAAAAAAATCCAATAAAACTTTCAAAATTTACTCATTCACAAAATTAACCCCTTTGTTAGAAGAATACTGATAAGGACCCAAGCTATAAACTTGGAGCTGAATTCACCTCCCAATTATGAACACCCAGAGTTTTAGTGTTATACAAAACTGACATTTGATGTTACGCCTGTCATCAATGTATGGAACTGTCCCAGTCATTATTATTATTATATAACCCTCCTCTACTTAGTGTCTAAATTATTTGAGGGATTTTTCATTTTTTGTGGGGTGGGCGGGGTACTTTAAAGTAATCTTTTGTCAAATCATTCAAGCCCTATAAAAAGCAAGATTTGTACACTCTTGTATACAACAAATACACATACAAATGATGCTGGTGCAAACATGCATACATATACACATATATATAAGTGAGTGACATGACTTATTGTAAGACTTTGTATACTTCTTTTCAACACCAGTAACTTCGTAGAAACTGTGCTGGTGGATGGAGGACCAAACACCATTAAAACAGAAAAAAGGGAATCCACATATTGGTATAGTACAGCAACAGTCTCCCCAGATAACCTTGCTACCAGGCCTTTATGAAAGCACACAGCATGACAGCACCTTGCATTGACCAAATCTCATTGTATTTTGTGAACATTCATAATTCAGTTTCATGACTTTCATAGCAGCATGGATAAGTCCAGTTCTAGAAATGTGTAAACAGAGGCACAGGACAATTAAGTGCCTGGTCATGTAGAATCAATGGCAGAACCGTGATAAGAAGTCTTGACTGAACCCCTGTCCTTACACCACAAAACGGGTAAGATATGCCTAGCACCAATGTAGAAATCAGTCAAAATGGTGAATGTGCCAGACCTAGCCAGTGGAGCAAGCTGCCAAGTTTTGTTACCAACTCTTTCTCCCAAGCCCCCAACTCCTCTCTAATATCTCAAAGACTGTAATTGCTCATTTTCTGCCAGGGAAAAAGGATGGGGCAGTGATGTGTGAAACCAGAAGCTATTTCTTTAAATGCATGCAACTTAAAAAAATATATAGATTGTGGCTGAGAAAACAAAGAACTTTCTCTGAGGGTGAAATACAAGGACTATGCAATGCTGAAATTCTGTGCTGATGGTCTTAACTTGTGTTGGTCCTCTTCACCAAGGAGACCTTTATGCTCTATTTGTTGTTTCTGAAGCAGTGTTCTTCCCTTTTTCTAAGACTATCCCAACTTCCAAAGATTGCCTCCTGCAACCTGCCTGTTCCCTGCCTAAGGGCTGATTTTCAACATAATCAGATTTTATTCCCCAGTGTCTTTCCAATAGCAAATTCCTACCTCACGTAGGATCCCAGCCCCACATTCATTCTTCTAGGAGGAAAGAGAAGGGGGGAAAAAAAGCAGTGTCCGTTGCTACTCTGCAAAATAGGGTGTGCTGCAATTGGGGAAAAGGACCTTCTATCCCCAAAGCAGCCCAAGTCTCTGACACGAGCGTACTAAGCCCAAGATCTACCAATTAAAAAAAAAATTAATTGCCAGCATGAAGAATTTGCACAAAATAGCCATAGTTAACAAAGAAAACTTGACATATAACAAATACAGCCAACAAATTGTGAAGGGTAATTCTAGCTACATCACTTGACGAAGAAACTGGATCAAAAACTACTGAAAATATGGCAAGGATGAGAGGAACAATATCATCTTTTCTTTTTTTTTTTCCTTTTCTTTTTTAATAACTCTGTCCACCAAACGGGCTCCATTCACCTTACACAGACTCTTCATACCTTATAGCACAAGTATATTTATCCACATTTTACAGATAGAGGAAACCAACACATAAGGAGGAGAAATTATTTACACAAGGCAAGTCTGTGTCTCAGCTGGGAAAAGAAGCAAGATATGTTTTATTTAACCACAAAACTAGTCTTCCTCATCTGAAGACAGCATGATTAGCAATTTGGGGCAAGACAGAATTGTCTTAGCTACACACTGTGCATGAATCCCCTCGTGCCTATCAGGCACACTAGTCACACAAGGCTGGTGAGCTTCTGTTCACAGACAGCCCAGGGAGTTAAAAACACAAGAATAAGGAGGGCAGGACGGAGGCACTTCAGTTGAGTTTTAAAAGTTTTAGGTTCCAATAAATGTTTTAAGTATAAAGCTCAGAGATAAGCACATTCTACCTCCTCTTTGGTCACTCCTATGACCCATCAAGATGTGGAACCCAGAACTGAAGTAGCAAGGCTGTTGCAGAATGACTGAAACACATTGGCTAGGGACAGACATTACACATAAACTGGCTTAAGCGATCAGAAACTGATTTAAACCTGTAACAGAATAGATGTTCAGTGCACATAAACCAGTTTGAAACTGGTTGGAGAGAAACCTGATTGAATGTAGTATCAGCCTTAATTGATCTGGCTCAAATCAGTCTATGAAATGTCTGTCCCAGACCTCTTGCTGGTTTAAATTAAGTCAGATTCCCCCAGCATCCCAGCATGCTCTCTGGGCTGGGCAGGGCTCTCTGTTCCACAACAGGGCTGGCCCGTCCCCTCTGCTCCCTAGCTACGCAGCAGTGTCTGCCTGTTCTCCGCCCCCCCTCCCCACTCTCTGCTAAGCAGGCATTCCCCTGTCCCTCACAGACACCTCAGCATTAACTAGCAGATGACAAACTGGCTATCTCCAGGCTGTGGCACATGGGACAAAGGCAGAATCAACAGGTACCTGGTAATGTCCCTCTTTTTCTTAATGAGGTGATAAACATCCCCTGCTGGGCTGTTCAGGAGCAGGGGGAGGGGAGGGAGCCCCTCCCTAATCACAGCATTCTGCCAGGGCCTGGCCACACCCCGCCCCCCTCAGCTCAGCCTGTGGAAGGGAGGGGAGGGCTGCTGCTCCCCAGATTCTAGCCTGAGCCACAGCAGACATGTGCCTGCATTTCCGGGGATGTCTGTCTGGTCACAAAACTGATTTAGACTAGCCAGGTTAGACTAACCTGCAAAGACTGAATCAATTCAGGCTCAGGCTTTTTGAATGTCTGTCCCTGGCCATTGACAGAAAAGCATGGTGGAAGCTCTGTACACCTATCTTCTGCAACGCCTGGCTCAAATCAATGCTTCATTGTCCTTCACTTTCATGAGAACTAAGTTCACTAAATTTAAAAAAAATAAATCATTTGCTATCAAAAATGCACTTTAGAAGATTTCAGCTCTCTGCAACCTGTCTCTTGGTTGAAGAGATGCCTTGAGTCTCAAAGGGTTTGATTCTCTTTGAACATGCAGAGTCAAATGCAGTAGGTTAATCAGGACCATTTATAGTGCTTGATCAATGATTTTTTAAAAACTTGTTTCCTGAATAACAATATGTAATTTAGTGTTGTGGTCAAAGCACTGCATCACCTCCGATTCCTATACACTAACAATTTAAAACAACAGTCAAGTAATCATCTTTAATACACTAACTCCTACTGGTTGTCTCATTTCTGGCAAAGGCAGTAGGTCTTGTTGATCCCTGATGATAGGGTTCTTGGTGCAGCTGTTTACACTATGCAGCTGAAATTCACAAAAGGCCAAACACTGAGGTCTTCACTCCTGACTCAAGTAAAAACTCACTTTTTCATTGAGAGAGTTCTGCTCAGCAACTGTCTGAAGACTATTAATTTCAAGGGGGCTTCACAAAGGCAAAATAATCCCTATACCTGGACCCAATAAATGGATTTTGGATGTGGCCCAGAATAAATTTTCCTGTCTTTTGGACTTTGAAGACATAATGGTACAACTGGATGTGTGACCTTAGACAAGTGAGTTAAAGGCTACGTCTACAGAATAAACCTGATGTGTACCATAGCAGTGCCCTCAAGCATGCTATCTTGCTCAGGACGAGTTACCATTCAAACCAGAAGCATTGCCAATGCCATTAGCCC